TATCATGGTAGTTAACAACCTAAATCCTTTATTTAATTACACATTTTTTGTGGTAATATATGAAGAATTAACAGAGGATTTGCTTACACAATAAGCTAAACTAGCTCTTCAATTACAGCACTAAATGGATCATTACTCTCCCCCATAGACAGCGATGAGGCCATGCAAGGCAGTTCCGGCTCTTACCAGAGAGAAGCCAGTATAGGAACTGGCATTCCTGCCAAAGACAATCAGGGACTGGAACAAGCTTCCAAAAGGATCAGTTGAGGCGACAACACTAGACACATTTGCATCTATTGCCGCAGGCCTTCTAACCCCCAGTACATGATACTCTCACTAAGTAGCCTTTTGCAATCAGTGAAATATCCTCATCAACACCAGGCGCAGTAACATTGCAAATCCCCTCTACATGCCAGAGTTATCAATAAATTGATCGTGGGCCCTTAATATATAGAAGAACAAGATAATATACCAGACATATCCTTAAATAAGCAGATTCATTCGTACTAATATAAAATTAATTTGCTTGTTACCCTTAAAATGTTTTTGAAAAGTAAACATTTTGTGCTTGAAGTTTACCCCTTTTCCCACTCACAGAGGTGCAATTAACTATTTTGAAAACAATCTTCCAACACTTTATCAGGTCATATAAAAGAAAAAGAAAGAAATCCAAGCCCAAAAACTGCATTTGGTTCTATTTAGAAGATATATAATATCAAAATTATTTTCCTTTATATTTATTAGAGGAGGGCAGGGCCTAGGCCTTTTTACTGGAATACTACTAGCTATTTTAATTAGGCTTAGGTTGTTAAAGAGTAGATAACTTCACAGACACACACAGGGTTACTGTTACTCATTTATTGTATTGTAATTGTAATGATTAATTATAGTTCTTTTAGTTTTATATGGATAAATAATAAATGCAAATTAAATTGTATTAAGGGATTCGTTGTATTAAACTGCATAGGGCCTTCCAATCCCTTCAATAGGTTATTTTATGTCATTTGAATTTGAGTCTGATCATCACTGATGAGTGATGCCAATATTGATATTGTCAATAAAATATTTTTAATTTTCAAATTATTGTTTGGAGAGGGTAATTGACAATTACTATGAGTATAAGATAGATTTGGCTCGATAGTCTATAGGCTAATTAATTTTTTTCTTCCAAATTTCTTCTTTAATATGTAGTAGTGATTACTAGTATTAGGCTATTAATATTAAGAATAGGCACTAATTTTTTTTTTTTTTTTGCTTTGTCTTCTTATTCTTCTTTCATAACGTCCCGAGGCTAAACTTGGCTAAAGTAAGTAATTTTAACTTTACCTCTTAAAAGTATTCTGTAGTAAGAGTGATCCGGAAGTAAACCACTTTTACAGCACAACTTAGTGTGTCTACACTCGACAGCCAAAAGTACAGCTCTCCTCAAAATGTCAAAACTATCAGTGACGGCTCGGTATCAACAACACTCAAGTCAATATAGGCATAGAACAAGTAAAAAAATAAAAGTAACAAAACAGAGACAGCCAGAAGCCAGTAGTGAAAAAAAGCACATTTCTAACTCCTTACAAAAAATGTAATTAGATGATAGATCTAGTCTAAAAATTAATCATAATAATGAAAGAGAACTACCTGTCCCGTTAAAATACTTTCATTTCCGTAAGATAAGTAGTTTTACTTAATCCTTTAGGAACTTTCACTTTCATCCCCTTTCACTAAAGAAGAGTAGAAAGATGGCGGAAGGAAGAAAAGATAACTCCTGGAAAATCCTCCCCCTCCCCTTCCATAACAAAAGGGCAAAACCATTTCAGAAGTTAATATGGCGAATGAAAAGATGAATACGAAACATAATTATTCTTGGATGGTTGAAGAACATACGTTACGTTGTGGTTAATTACATAACACTAAAATGTTGGAATTTAAATGCGAAATATGAAATAAAAATTCATACGTTTGTTTCCATTTTCAATCAAAGTGGATCTGCTGTTGTAAACCAATAGTCTAACTAACTTTTTAATAACTGTTTGACCGAGGGCGCCTTGGGAAAGCCTAGATTTTAGCAATGGGTGCCGAGAATCGAAAAAAAAAAAAAAAAAAAAAAAAAAAAAAAAAAAAAAGAGAAACACAACGTTTGGTAACCAAAGTAATAGATTATTGATATTGTTTTAAACCCCAATGTAATAAAGTTTTCGTATGAAGTGTGCTTTTATGAAGATCTGTATAATCGATAATTTATCATTCAAAAACTATGTAGACCATGGCTGTTATCTAATTGAGTTAACATAGTGGCCGACGACCTAGGGTAAATTAGGCTGCCCCATATGGGTAGAACCAAAATCGGAGGGGGGTGGTGCAAAGAGGGACAAAAGACACTAATAAAATGTATGTAAAAAGAGCGTTACTTGTTCCGAAAGATCCGGGACAGCTATCGTATCTACACGCCGCCTTATCTTGTAGGACTACAGTCTCTATAGCAGTGGCTCTTAACCTGGGTTCGATCGAACCCCAGGGGCTCGGTGAGTCAGTCTCAGGGGTTCGGCGGAGGTGAAAAAAAAAAAATCAGAAAAAAGCCTGTATTTTATTTTTCCTAATAAGAAGGGTTCGGTGAATGCGCATATGTTATTTTTGACTAGTCGCCTAGTGTTTTTTTCTTCACACCTTCAAAAATTTCATGGATTTATTCATTTATTTCATCGCGTCTATTTGGTACCTTCATAAAGATTGCATTCTCTGTATAAATAGATGAAATAAACCAGTTTTAATGCATATATTTTATGATTCGTCCCCCGTTCCCATCGAAGGGATCAAGTCGATGTCAATAAATCAGCAGTAGGTCTACCTAGCAATAACGGCGTAATTGGGCCCGGGCCCGCACCGTTAGTTGGAAAAGGACGGTAAGTGACTGTATGAAGGCTTTTTCTGTGTCTCGCGAGTGCCTGCAAGAAAACTGCGTACTATGTACTAATATATATTATATTAAGTTTGCAATAACACTAACTATATAGAACAATTATAGAGACGGAAATGTAGGCCTACAGCCTACACAATGTTTACCTTTAAATAGATATTTTAGTACGTAGCATGCAGTAAATGATGCACAACTGAAAAAGAAATCGAAATATAACATTTTTTAAGTAGTAGTGAGCAGAGGCGTAGCGAGGGGTGGGCAGGGGGGGACAGATGTCCCCGGGCGCCAGCTAGTTAGGGTTAGGGGCGCCAAAATGTGCTTTGATATTATTTTATTGATGAAAATAATGGGTTTGAGAGTTGAAAAAAAAGAAAAAGGGGCGCTTTTAAATGGATCTTGTCCCCGGGCGCGAATCTTGTCCCCGGGCGCCAAACACCCTCGCTACGCCTCTGGTAGTGAGCATCGTGGACGGAAATTTAAGAGCGATGTTATTGCGAAACGTTTTTTTTTTTAAATTTTATGCCGAGTAGCCGTTTTTGCGAAGTGCTACTGTATTTTGGGGTAACAGCTATAAATAAGTTTCCACGACCCCCGGGTTAACATGTAATTTTCCCTTTCTGTTAAGCTGTAGTTTTTTTTTTTTCCCCCTCAAATTTGCGAAGTTCATGAAGTCATTTTTAAATGTGACTTAATTTTCATTTGTCTTTGCATAATTTCATTACGCGGATTGTTTAAATGAAGGGACCAACCAACCACAACATTTTTAATTAAATAATTTTAAAAGATTCAAAACATTATCATTTGTACTTTAAATGATTTTTAAAATTAAAAAAAAAAAATAATGCCCCTCTCTTCTACCAGGCATGTTGCCCCAATTCTACAGCTATCTTGCCCCATTATTCTAAAGCTATGTTTCACCATTTTTCTTCCAGCTATGTTGCCCCACTCTTGTATCACCTGTGTTGCCCCAATTATTTACAGCTACGTCGCCATTCTCTTCCACCAGCTCTGTTGCCTCATTCTTCTTCTTCTACCAGCTCTGTTTCCTCCTTCTTCTACCAGCTCTGTTGCCTCATTCTTCTACCAGCTCTGTTGCCTCATTTTTCTACCAGCCCTGCTGTCTCAACAACAAATTGGTTAACCGAAAAGTCAGCTACACAAATATCCCGTAGACGCCACTATTTCCGAAAACACCACAATCTATGTGTAGATCTGATAACTGATGTGGTTATAATGGCAAACTTTACTTCACCTCTTTATGCCTGAGTTCTGTATTAAAAATTAGATTGTAACTGGATAAGCAGACAGGACTTACTTTACATAGATAAGACAGTGTGTAGCTTACAAGGTTTGCAAACCTGGTTGGCTCGTGCCCTATAAGCTGCAATCTCATGTGAAACAGGGATTATAAAGACAGTAGGGCCAAATTGATTTTTCATGTTTTGAAATCTTCACGAAATAATCAAAAAAGTAATTTTCTAAATATCACAGTTTCATCAGAAATGAATAGTCATTTTTTTAAACATTTATTCATTGTTAATTTTGGAAGGGGCTGCGAGACGTATTCGAACAATTCGCAGAGACGTATTCGAACAATTCGCAGAGGGTGCAGCTTATCAACTGTTTGGGAAACGTCGTTTTTCTATGGGGCTGTGTATACTTATCTTAAACAGTAAATCGTTCCATGTATCCCCACTTAAGACAAGATCAATAAAGACTGCTAATTGGAAAGTATCGAAATGGGTCACACGGGTTGTGTTGACGAACGAAATGTAACTGCCCCCCCCCCCCC